CACAGGACCCTCAGTGACCTCTTTATGCCACAGTATTCTTTTGTTTGTTTTGCATTGTTTTCCCCAAAAGATTAAATGAGAAGGGGTGATGGCCATATGTATATAGAGGTGTTTGCACACTGTGTGTGAATAGGGATACCTGTGTGTGGCATTTAATAAGTGTCAGCAGCTGTCTTTGAATGACATGCATAAGGCTGGGTAGAGAGTGTACACAGCTCAAGAACACCCCTTAGATGCTGAAACCATTCTCCTGGGGCCCTCAAGTAATTAGCAGGATGAGCTGTGTTCTGTGTCCTAGTGTGATGGCTGGGGTAGGTTCTTAGGTCTTAGGCTGGGTTCTCTCAGATGGCATAGGTGGGTTGGGGCTGGAAAAAGGCTGGTGGATTTGGGGGCAGGGAAGGAGCTGAAATTGACCTATTGTCACCAGTCTTAGAATGAGAAGCACTAGCTTAGTGATTCTCTGACTTGAGGTCCTGTCTTGAGACCCTGAAGGGGTTGGCTTTCAAAGGAGCTGCCAGAAGTGGTCTCTCCAGAGGCTGCCCCTCCCTGAGCAGTGTGATGTAGGACAGCTATCTGTCCACTTCCAGTGAAGCAGGCCCTTCTCTCTCCTTGATTCAGAGCACCATTTCGAGCCTGGTAAAGAAAACAGTTTGCTGTGAAGTAATTTTTTTTTCAAACCTGGAACTCTTCACACAGGGTTGTGGTGGAATCCTCTTAAGACTCGGAAAACTTGTCTTCTTATCTCTCACACCCTTCCTCCTGGCTTCCCTGCAGTAGAGGATTAAAGATGGCTGAAGGGTTATTTCTCTTGGAAGAAGACATGCTTGTTTCTGCCCTTATTTCTTTATTAATTAATAAAGATTAATATCTTTATCAGCCATCATGTAACTGTCTAAATTAATAACAGAGGAAAACAGCTCTGCAATGTAAGTGTTTTGTCTTGAGGCCAGTCCTGGGGTGGCTGGTACTTGGGCTGGGTCCTGGGAATGATTGGTCATACCTTGTAGATAGCTCTGTTCCTGTCTGTGCTATCTGCATGGTCCAGAGGGGCCTCTGCTGGGCGAGGTGGGAGACCTGAGAGTTGGCTCTTACCTCCTCAGAGGCTTCACCTCCCTCCCTCAGGAAGCACTTGCAGTTGCTTTGAGGGCTTAAGAGAAATGATGCTAGAAGCCCTGTCCGGTCTCACTCCTTTATATTGAGTGGTACTTTATTGGTATTTTATTTTATTGTTTATTTATTTGTTTGTTTATTTATTTTTATCTTTATTGTGTGTTTTGGGGGTTTTTTGTGTGTTTTTTTTTAAATATATCTTTATTGATTTCAGAGAGAGGAAAGGAGAGGGAGAGAGAGATAGAAACATCAATGATGAGAGAGTCATTGATCAAGCCTGCAACCTGGGCATGTGCCCTGACCAGGAATCGAAACCCGATCGCCTGGATCCCAGGTCGACACTCAACTGCTGAGCCATGCCCGGCGAGGCCATCTTTATTGTTAAAAGTATTACAGGTGTCCCATTTTTACCCCCATTGACGCCCTCCACCTCGCTCTTACCCCCTCCCAGGCCTTCACCCCATTATTGTCTGTATCCATGCAGAAGTTATATGCATATAACTTCTTTGGTTAATACCTTCCCACCCCCATCCCCCTTCCCTCTGCCCTCTAAAACAGGACAGTCTGTTGCATGCTTCAATGTCTCTGGGACTACTTTGTCAGTTTCTTTTGTTCATTAGCTTCTTCTTAATGAAGACTCTTCAACATTTCGTATAGTACTGGTTTGGTGGTGGTGAACTCCTTTAGCTTTTTATCTGTGAAGCTCTTTATCTGACCTTCAGTTCTTTTTTTTTTTTTTTCAAATATATCTTTATTGATTTCAGAGGGAGGAAAGGAGAGGGAGAGAGAGAGATAGAAACATCAATGATGAGAGAGTCATTGATTGAGCCTCACCCGGGCATGTGCCCTGACCAGGAATCGAACCCCGATCGTCTGGATCCTAGGTCGACGCTCAACCGCTGAGCCACACCCGGCCGGGCTGACCTTCAGTTCTAAATGATAGCTTTGCTGGGTAGAGTAATCTTGGCTTTAGGTCCTTGCTTTTCATCTCTTTGAATATTCTTGCCACTCCCTGCTGGCCTGCAAAATTTCTGTTGAGAAATCAACTGACAGTTGTATGGGTGCTCCCTTGTAGCTAGCTAACTGCTTTTCTCTTGCTGCTTTTAAGATTCTCTCTTTGTCTTTAACCTTTGGCATTTTAATTATGACATGTCTTGGTGTGGGCCTCTTTGAGTTCCTCTTGTTTGGGACTCTATGTGCTTCCTGGACTTATAAATCTATTTCTTTCCCCAGGTACGAGAAGTTTTCTGTAATTATTTTTTCAAATAGGTTTTCAATTTCTTGCTGTCTTTCTTCTCCTTCTGGCATCCCCATGATATGAATGTTGGGCCACTTGTTGTCCCAGAGACTCCATTCACCATCTTCATATTTCTGGATTCTTTTTTCTTTTTGCTTTTCTGATTGGGTGTTTTTTGCTTCCTCACATTCCAAATTGCCAATTTGATTCTCAGCATCCTCTGCTGAACTGTTGATTCCTGTAAATTATTCTTCCATTCAGTTAGTGTAGCCTTCCTTTCTGACTGCTTCTTTATTATGTCAGTGATGATCTCACTAGTTTCCTTAATAGTCTTACTAAGATACTTGAGCATCCCTATAACCATTGTTTTGAATTCTATATCTAGTAGCTTGCTTCNGATGATCTCACTAGTTTCCTTAATAGTCTTACTAAGATACTTGAGCATCCTTATAACCATTGTTTTGAATTCTATATCTACTCCATTTCATTTAGTTCTTTTTCTGGAGCTTTCTTCTGTTCTTTCATTTGTGACATGCTTCTTTGCCTCCACATTTTGGCTGCTTCCTGGTGTTTGTGTCTGTGTATTTGGAAGAGCTGCTGTGTCTCTTGGAATTGGTAGAGTGGCTTTGTGTAGTAGGTGTCCTGTAGGGCCCAGTGGCTCAGTCTCCGCAGTCACCTGAGCTGGGCCTTCTAAGTTTTTTCATGTGTCGGCTGTGTGCACTGTCCTGTTGTAGTTGAGCCTTGGTTGCTATTGGTGTCCCTTGGAGGAAATTGACCCCCAGGCCAATTAGCTGTGAGGACCAGCTGCAACTACAGCCAAAGAGCTGCTGTGCTGGAAACTCCCCTATGGAGCAGGATTTGCTTCAGTGGAGCTTTGGTCCTCAACAAGTGTACTGTTTCAGTGTGTCACTCATGGATGTGGTAGGATTGTAATAAAGCATGGTTGAAGCTGACCGCTGGGTGCACTGTCTCTGGGGCCTCCCAGGAGGTGCAGATTCAGCCTCTGTCCTGCCCAGGGTCACCCAGCATGAGCTACACAGCAATTTATGGCTGCTACTTGTGCTGGGCTTGGAGTTGTCCAGGAGAGGCCAAGCTATGAACCAGTGCAGGCTGCTGCTAGTGCTTTGTCTGGAGCCACTTATTGAGAGGTATGGGGCATGCTGAATCCAGCTGCTGCTTTTTTGAGAGATTTTAGGAAAGCCCTAAGCATGAGGCTAGAGAGGCCACTTGCATAAAAAAGCCACCGGAAATGGCTTGAATGAGCTTGCAAGTAAGGAGAGGCAGGGTATCTGAGAATCACCAGGGCAAAGGTGTGNGGGTTCGCCAAAGGAGCAATGGCCTCTACCAGCTCTTCTCTCTATGAGAAAGCTGCCCCTCCAGCTCTCTCCCTGATTCCAGACAAGTTAGTTCCTCCCTGAATGTCCAGGTTCCTTTCAAGCTGCTGCCCAGTGCTGGAGCTCAGAGGGAGTGCTTCTGAGTAATTCTGAGTGCTGGCCCTTTAAGAAGAGCTGCCTGAGACTCCAGCAGCCTCCACATCACTCAGCCACAATCCCTGCTGGTTTTTTACAGCCCAAAGTTGTGGGGACTTCTCTTCCCAGCCCTGGAACCCTGGGATGGGGGACCTGATGTGGAACTGGGACTCCTCTCTTCTCCAGGAAACCACCAACTGAGATATCCCTCCCAGTTTTAAACTGCAGCCCCTGGATATGGGATCCCTGGTGTGGGATCCGGGCCACCTCTCTGCCATTCTGCCCACGTCTCTGCTCCTCCTACCGATCTCCATGTGTTTCTTCTTTAATTTCCTAGTTGTTGGGCTTACATTCAGCTAGATTTCAGGTGGTTCTGAATGGTGGTGCTTCTATATTTTAGTTGTAATTTTGATGTGGTTGTGGGAGGTAGTGGGTACTGCTCTTACCTACGCCACCATCTTGTTGTTTCTCTTTCATTGGTATTTTAAATTGCCCCATTAACATTTCCTGCTTTTGAAGATATAACTATCCCTCCCTAATCTCATATTAGAATGAAAACCTCTGATGGCCTGGCATTTTCTGATGTTAGGGTATAGGCTAAAGGGTGCTCCCAGGAAGCGTGATCACAATTCTAGGATGAGTGTTGAGGCTCCACCACTCACTGCCCAGTGCGGAAACTGAGGCCCAGAGCAGGGAGGGCATCTGCCTGATGCCACAAGCTTCAGTGACAGAGCTGGGACTGGAGCCTTCTGTGTGCCTAGACCTCCCCCTCTCTCCAGTCATGGTATGTGGCATGTTTGTCTGCCAGCCTGTCTTAGGCCACAGCTGCCCCTCAGGGACAATGGAGCAGCCTTGTCTGAGCCTGGGGTAATTCTGGGTGAACTGCTCTGGCCACTAAAATAGCCCTGCACTTCTCTCTAGACACCACTGTTTGCTTTGCTTTTCAGCCTGACTCTCACTGGGGCATGGGAAGGGCAGGCAGAGGGTACCCTTAGTAAAAGAAGAGCCTCTTTCCCTGCCAGTGTCTACATCTTGCCCTGATTCCTATGGGTCTACCTCCTGTAGTGTCGCAAAACCTCCTAAGACTTCTCTCTCCTATACTTGCTCTCCCTCAGAGCTTCTCCCTCAGTCTGTGACTCAGTTCTCTCCCTCCTCTGGCAACTGACCCCTTTGTCTCTGGGCAGATTCTACTGGGACCTGACCATGCTGTTGCTGATGGTAGGGAACCTGATCATCATCCCCGTGGGCATCACCTTCTTCAAGGATGAGAATACCACACCCTGGATTGTCTTTAATGTGGTGTCAGACACATTCTTCCTCATCGACTTGGTCCTCAACTTCCGCACAGGGATTGTGGTGGAAGACAACACAGAGATCATCCTGGACCCACAGAGGATTAAGATGAAGTACCTCAAAAGCTGGTTTGTAGTGGATTTCATCTCCTCCATCCCTGTGGACTACATCTTCCTCATTGTAGAGACACGCATTGACTCAGAGGTCTACAAGACAGCTCGGGCCCTGCGCATCGTCCGCTTTACCAAGATCCTCAGCCTCCTGCGCCTCCTGCGTCTCTCCCGCCTCATTCGATATATTCACCAGTGGGAAGAGGTAAGTGCTCAGACACAAACCTCTTGGGAGAAGGGCGTCTTCCCCCAGGGGGAGTGAGGTGCCAGCAGGTAATCTCAGATAGTTGGATGTGGCCTGTCAGATTATAGCAGGCACACCTGCTCCAAAGGGACAAATATTAGTAATTTTTGGATATCATGAGCTAGATACTGGGCAAATCACTTTATAGGAAGTGTCCCATTTAAGTCTCTAACATCCATAGAGGGTACTGTATAGGTCCACACAGGTACCATTTTTTAATGAAGAAACTGAGACACAGAAAGATTAAGGGATTTATTAAGGTCACAGAATCAGTAATTAGTGAACCTAGACTCCAGAGCCTGCACTGGTAACCACTGCACTGTATTGTAAAGGTTGCAAATTCATAATCCTGTAGGGGCCAGACAGGGAATGTGAATGGTGAAAAAGACCAGTTGGAAGGCATTAGGGGGTGTGGTGGACTGGGGAAAATTGTAGAACATGCCTTCTGTCTGTATCAGGTAGTCTCTACTCAGCTCTAGCCACTTGTTGCTGAGTAGGAATGGGCCTAGAGTTGCTAGATCTACAGATTTATCCTGAGAAGCAGAAAGCTGTATATTTGTGCAGATTTTGTTGGCAACTATCTTAGGTTGGGTTCTTCCAGAGCAGACCCTGAGATGAGGATTTGCATGAAAGTGATTTTTTTAGAGGGAAGTGTTTCCAGGGAGATATAGTAAGGGATTGGGGAAGAGAGAAAGGGAAAAGAAGGAAGCTAAGCAAGGGTAGATACCAAGCAAAGTTCCATGGGTGGTGACTTGGGTCCCACTCCATTGGGAGCTCTTGGGACAGTGTACACTGTGCCTCAGGGGTGTTAGAATTTTTTGTGTGCATTAATCCTTGCCTGAGGATATTTTTTCTATTGACTTTTTTTAGAGAGAGTGGAAGGAGCAGGGGTGGGGGAGAAGAGAGAGAGAAACACTGATGTGAAAGAGATACAGATTGGTTGCCTTCCACATGCACCCCAACCTGGGCTGGAGATTGAACCTGCAACCCAGGCACGTGCCCTTGACTGGGAATTGAACCCACAGCCCTTCGGTGTGCAGGCTAATGCTCTAACCTGAGCCACATCGGCCAGGGCAGAGGTGTTAGAATTTTTATGTCCCCTTACCTGCCACCATTGGTTCAAAGGCCCTCTCGCCCTCAGTGCTAGTAGGAAAAGTGGTTTCCAGTAGCCTGGCTCCAGGGAGTGAAAGCATTGGGAGCCTGGAGTTGCATGTGCACAAAAGAACTGTAAAGGGGTTCTCGGACTCTGGGTGGAGCACAGGCTACAGAGACTAAATAATAAATTATTAAAAAAAAAAAATTGGGTAAGCCAACACCATTCTGAACAAAACTTACTCCTTCATGAGCTGAATGGAGTTGTCTGGGGGTGGAGGGAAGAGAGAGGACTACCAACTGGGATTTGAAAACAAGCAGGTGACTTGGCCAGGCACTTTGGTAGGTATCTGCCACCACCCGTTACATCTCTTGGCAGCAGCAGCAGGCAGGCCAGCTTGCATGTATTGGGGTTGGGGAGAAGTGCTCTGCGGGACGGCCCACTTGGAGATCTGGAAGCTTCTGCAGATGTGCGTTTCCTGCCTCAGCTCACTGCTGCTGCTGCTGCTGCTGCCGCTCTCCTGGTCTCCAGGACCTCCGCTTGACTGGACGGAAGTTCCCAGGCTGAGGATCCAAAGCCATCACCCCAGCAGCAGCCTGGCTGGCAGCACCCATGCTGATGGGGCACTGGCAGATTAGGGTCAGAGGTGTCATGAGCACCTGTGCCACAGAAGTGCCACACCAGTCTGGCAGAGTCACTCCATGGCAGAAATTCTATTTTGCTTTGAAAATTTGCATTCTTTCTGCTGACAGAGAAGTGGCAATGACTTGCCCAAGGTCACATAGCAGTTATCTGTCAGAGCTAGATCAGAACACACTTAGCGGAGATCCAAGATGGCAGCAGACTGAATGGAAGGTACACGGACATTTCCAGGACCAATCTGGATTTACAACTAAAACATAGAAAAACCATCCTGAAAACCAACTGAAGGCTAGCTGGAGAGCACCCTTATAACCAAGGAGGAAAAGTGGAGACCACATAGAGATTGGTAGGAAATTAGGAGGCATGAGAGGGCTGGCTGGGCTCCCACAGGCAGCAGCTGAAGGTCCAGAGGGATATCTCAGCTGTGGGGGATTCCCACTGAGGACACTGGGGCCTAAACCCTAGGCTGGGCTTCCCAGCCAAGAGCACCAGAACTGAGAAAGGTGCCCACATAACATCTGACTGTGAAAAGCAGCAGGGTTTCTGTCTGCCAGGGAGAGGCAGCTGGAACTGCAGGCACCCTCTTAAAGAGCCAATGCAGTTTCCTAAGCAGCCGTTCACCTTGGGCTCCAGTGGAGGGGGAGCAGAGTGTACTGGAGCTGTGTGGGGAGAGTCTGGGGTTGTGGGATCTGGAGAGTGAGATCAGGGGACACCCATCTGGATTCCTGTGCCGAGTCATTCCCCCAGATTCTGGGGGACATCTTTCTCGGGTGGAAAATTTTGGCTTTTGCCTGAGGGGGAAGCAATTGCCCTACACTGCTGGAAAGCCTCTTGTCCTGCCCAGAGGAGTTTCTACAGCCTGAGGCTTGTTAAAAGACTGATAACAACCAGCTGCCCACCCTGTGGAGCTCCTACAGCCTGAGGCTCATTAAGAGAATCAGATTAATCAGCCTGCAGGCAGAGGTAGACCTCAGAGTGCTTTGAATCTTTGCCTGAGCGACTTTGGGACCTGGGCCTTGGAAAAGCAGACTTTGGTGTGCATCTTGGTCCTGTCCAAACGCACCCAGCCCCAGCAGAGGAGACTTCAAGCCTACGGTTGTTGATAGCTCCAAACCGTACTGAGGGCCAGTCATAAACTGCATCTGACATTGGTCTGCACCAGAGACCCTCCAAAAAGACTGAGAGTCCTAGCAGATCTACCTAATAATTAGAAACAAACCCAAAAAGGTAGCCAAAATGGGGAGACCAAAAAACAAGCCCCAAATGAAAGAACAAGAGAAGTCTCTGGAAAAAGAGCTTAATGAAATGAAGATAAGCAATCTCTCAGATATAGAGTTCAGAATACTGATTGTAAGGATGCTCAACAGCATGAAAAACATATGGAAACTATGAAAGAAATTAAGAATGACATAGCAGAAATAAAGAATACATTGGAAGGAATAAACAGCAGATTAGAGGAAGCTGAGAACTAGATCAGTGAATTAGAAGACAGGGTAGAAAAAAATCACTCAATCAGAGACCCACAAAGAAAAAAACAATTAAAAAACAGGACAGTCTAAGGGAGCTGTGGGACAACGTGAAACACAACAATATTAGCATCATAGGAGTGCCAGAGGAGGTTGAAAGTAAGCAAGGGTCAGAGAACCTGTTTGATGAAATAATGGCAGAAAACTTCCCTAACCTGGTGAAAAAAAAAAAGTCACACAAGTTCAGGAGACACAGAGAGTCCCAAGCAAGAAGAATCCAAAGAGACCCAAGCCCAGATACATTGTTATTAAAATGCCAAGATTTCAAGACAGATAGAATCTTAAAGGCAGCTAAAGAAAAGCGATCTGTTACCCACAAAGGAGCCCCATAAGGCTGTCAGCTTACTTCTCATCAGAAACTCTAAAGGCCAGAAAGGAATGGCATGAAGTATTCAAGGTAATACAAAAGAAGGAACTGAAACCAAGACTACTCTATCCAGAACCCTCTTAGCGCTCTTGGTTCCCAGCAGTGTGGCAGTCTCTGCCTGGCATAGTGCAATGCTTGAGGGCTTTGGAACTGGAATGGCACATTGGAGACTTGAGTTTAAATGCTGGCTCCACACTGCCTAGCAGTGTGACCTTGGTGCCATCTTGCCTCTTTTAGCCTTATCTGCAAAGTAGGGATAAGTAGTACCTTCCTCATTGGATTGTTGTGAGGATTAAATGAGATGTTGTTTGTAAAACCCTTTATATGAAGCCTGATGCAAAGAACTATTTAATAAAAGCTCTCACCCTGGCACGGTGACTCAGTTGGAGCATCGTGTGGTATACCAAAAGGGTCGTGGGTTCGATTTCCTGTCAGGGCACATATGTAGGTTGCAGATTCTCTCCATGGTCGGGGGGCATGCGGGAGGCAGCCGACTGACATTTCTCTCTCTCTCTCTCAAATCAATAAAAACATATCCTCACATGAGGATTTAAATAAATAAATAATAAAGGCTCTCCCCTCCCAGTTGTCTCAGTAACCCCTTTGTACTTCTCCAGGGTGTTTCCTTTTCTCAAATACTTTTTACCCATTATTTCACTGGTTCCTCACTCCTAGCTGGCTAATCAAGCAGGACAGTATTTATTACTCAGATTTGTCAGGTGAGGAAACAGAGGATCAGAGGGTCAGCTGCCCCACTGACAGGATTGTTGTCCTGGCCTCCTGACTCCAGGTTCTATGTGCCTCCTATTTTCTCAGGTGACCCGAAAAGAGGGTGACTTTGATTCTATTGTTGTGCCCTTTGTTGGGGACAGCTTTCAGCTAGGATTAGGAAGGTAGACAGCCGAGCAAGTTGACGGGTGTGGGGTGAGGAATTGTATGACAGGTTGGGTCTGAGGTAGCTGAGGGACATCTAGGTGCAGAGGAAGGTTGGCATATGGGTCTGAACTCAGGGCTGAGAAGGGCCAGTGGCTGTGGTGGTGCTGTTGTGGGGGGCAGGAAGGGGCCACTCTGAGAGGCTGCAGAGGAAGGATGGAGGTGTATTTACCAGAATGCCCTGACAGGCTTATCTCTTGGTTTCTGTCCCAAGTGGAAAATGTAGGACCATGTTGGTTCACTCAGTCCCTGAGAAACCCCAACCTTCTGTTTGTCTTGGACTCACTGCTAAACTGTCATCGAAAGCAGAGAAGTGGCTGCTCTTTACTTCTCTGGCATCAGCTCATGTCTCCAGACATCAGCCCCTGCTTGCCAGCCTTGCTATCCCTGAGGCCCAGGC